TGACTCTGGAGAGGCCAGGCATGTATGAGGTCACCACCTGTTGTGGATAACATCTCCGAGCTCTAAAGCAAGCCAGGCTTGGAACCCTATGGATTGCACCTCCTCCCAAGAGACCCTTGGAAAACACTCAAAGCACAAAGAAAAATGAGAGGGTCCGTTTTAGTTTTAATTGCTTCATGTGGGTTCCCTGTCAAAGCTGATACCCTGACATCTTTGAAGAAACAGCTGGATAAGTGCTAGATGGGCTTAATGTCATCTTCTCAGCCGTCAACTTTCTTATGTTATTAACTAGTTGCATGTTGCTGTAGATCCATCTTTAATGGTGGAACCATCAGGATTGCAAACTTGATTACCTTCCAGTTTCTTTTCATGACCTATTCAGACTGTACAATTACCTAGTACTGCAGAATCCCTGCCATTTTGTCTGTTCATTGTATGGTCTTACTGTAGTTACAGCTTTGAACGCCTGCATCTTGGCTATATTGTGACACCCTCATTTTAGACAACTTACACTGCCCAAAGAAGTAATATAAAACTGTTGTTTGCATCACTGTACATAATGTAATATTACTCGTGTAGTCAGCTTGGATAAAGCTGTCAGTTAAATACGTTAAGAACTTCTTTAACCCAGAAACGTACCCTGATTTTACATTTCAAGCCGGAGACCGCCATGTACCCAGCAGACCAGCAGTGTAGCAGACCCAGCAATGTAAACCAGCAGATGATTGGAATTTCTTACTTTTTTAGAAAACAAATGACACGGAGCAAGAAGGCTGCCTTGCAAATGGACTGTGTTACAGGAAGTTTTCCCAGACACGCTGCTAATGCTACTTTTGGGGCACTGATCTGAAAACATGATCTGCTTGTAACCCTGAAATCCTGCCATTTATTTTTGTATTTCACACAAGAGTAAAGACACATTGCGCAATTTATTCAGTTTTGAGTTTTTATTGAGGGCTTTAAGATTCCCATTGCCTATAAAGGATTACTCATGCTACTGACTGTTGTTTAAAGCATTTTCTCTGCTAAAAGTTGCTTCTCCTTGATTTTATCAGTAGAACACTTTCATGATTCATTAATCACTGGGAATCAATTGCAAATATATGCACAGTGTAATAAAAAAATCTTTAAACTTCATTATCTAGCTATATTAAAGTAGGGTCCTTTTTCAAGTTTACTATTAGGCGTGTGCTTTTAAAGTGAAGGTTGCATATTGGACTGATTAAGTGTTTCACAATGCCCAGCCAGGATGGATTCATAGTTTTTTCACATCATATACAAGTGTTTGATTCAATAATCATCGCCAACCATAACCAAAGATGACAGAGACATCTCCTCCGAAAGTGATGTAAGGCAGCTGCAATTTTTTAGATTAAAACAACTTAATTTAGAACAACTGAGCTAATTCATTTAAAGCGGTCACTTCAAATGAATAACCTAATCCCACACTCCAGACTGAGAAAAGGTTATCAGTAGATGCCCATGTTTGCTTCAACAAAACAGTTCACTTCAAGAGAGTGTTTTGTTAACCACTGTTAGTGTTTTGGTGAAAAAAAAATAATCAGTGAAAAGGAGCAGGCTTACTTTTGCCTACATTCACCCCAAGCTAAGAAGATACAAAATGTGTAACTGTGGTTCAAAAAGAACAATGGTTCATTTAGTTAATGTTACAGAAAATTCAGTCATTTTTCTGTAGACTGTGCACACTTAACACTATGCGCCACTTTGATAATCTCATGACTGATTCTGTACTAAAAAGCTGTAGTATGAAGAAACCAGGTGTTGCTGGTAAAGTCAAATAACAGAAGAAATGTATATACATAGTTTTTGAAAGACTAGTATGTTTTGTTCTAGCTGCACCTCAGCTGTGAGCCTGCAAGCGCACATGGGGGAGGACGAGGGGCAGGCAGAGTCCTGTGACCTGCTCACTTATCTTTCAACGTGTCGGATTCTACACTGCCAGCCCCCATATTGAAACTCACTGACAGGAGGCCACATGGGTCGCAGAGAGGGGACTAATCCCAGTCACAAGCACTAACTCATCCGTCACATGTGACCTGAACCCGGGCTCAACCTCTGTGAGGGCAAATGCCTTGAGGAACCCCCGAAAGAGCATTTCGGTCTTTGAGCCCTATCAGATTATTTTGTGATAAGAATAAAGAGGCCCTTACCACTATTCTTCACTGTGTTCATCCATGTACCTAACTGCTTTATCCAGGGGAGCAGGAGTCTATCCCAGCAAGCAATGGGCACAAGGTGGGGTACGCCCTGGACAGAACACCAGTCCATCGCAGGGCACACACAGACACAGACACCCACACACTCACACCAGGGTCAATATCCCCAGAAGACAATTAACCCACCAGTATGTTTTTGGACTGTGGGAACATACAGGAGCACCTAGTGGAAACTCACGAAACTCAGGGGGAGCATGCAAACTCCACACAGATGTCACCCCAGGAACTGCCCACTGTGCCACCTACTTTATTGCTTTATTAATAAAAAAAAAATAATGATGGATGGAAAACAAATACAGTTACTGTGTTCTGACTGTGTTTGGTGCCTAGGTTGGAGCAGGTGGGGAACACTGGTTGCCACAGCAACACAGTGCTCACAGAACAGTGCAAATTAGTGTAATGCCATTTCTTTGAGAACAGCAGGTGTATGTGTTGAAGCACATGTATAGGCAGCTCTGTTTTATCTGTGTCAGCTCAGGCTGTTACACGCCATGTATTATCAGGTACAGAAAAAACAATATATATAGCATTAATCCCATCTTATGGGAGCCAATCGTATCCCATTTGTCTTCTCAACAGATATCTTGTTTACTGCAAACGGCAATCCTGTTTAAAAGAGTCATAGGAGGATTTAAACCAAGTCAAAACAAGAAAACAATTAATGGCTCTAGTTTGCTTCTGTTTAATTTTCTTCTTTGTTGTGCTCAAGTAGTTGCTGGAGATGTTTAATTTTTCATTTAAAGCGGTACAAATCCTAAAAAAAGCCATGAAGGCCTGAATTCCACTACAAATCTTTAAATCCTTCGGGAGCTCCCTGGCATTCAAAGACTGCGAGCTGTCCTCAGTGCACACAGAGGCAGTAGAGGTTAATTCCACTCCAAAATGGAGAAAGGAAGAAGAAAAATTACTTCTTCAGCGGTGGATGTTTCTTCAGGTGTGTCGGAGAACGCAGGAGAGAAAGGGAATATAGGTACTTTAGGAATAAAGTAAAGGACATTTGCAGTTCTGTTGAAGAGCTCCACTCTCGAAATTTTTCATTGGCTGGTTAGGTACTTTTATAGAAAGGAAAACTCTTACACGAGTCTTTCTCTTCTAGCTGTAAGTTTAAACAGCAATTAAAAATCCAAAGAATCCAGAGAGGACTTGCTTCAAGGTTACTGGTGGCTTTCTGATCCCCTTTTGAACTTTATTAGGTGAAAGCTTAAAATTCCATGCCACCTGACCTTCACTTGAAAGCAAGAAAACCTCTCCAGACTTTACGGCCTTCGCCACAATCTATTTTTACTAGTTGAAGTATCGTAAACCACCGTTTCATACCTGTTTTGTTTCATGTGCTTGCCAGAGGATTCAGACAAAGCAAACTGAAAACACGAGGCCTGGATGTGAGAATGTATAATAAGTAACATTCAGGATAAACCATGACTGAGATCCTGTGTTCATGACCATTCTAAACATCCTCAGAACGACAGGTGCAACTTTTAAATCCTCAGGTGATGGCAACGCCCTGTTTCCATAAGCATTTTTCTCAGTTGGTTCTGAACCAGCACAGCGCCTACTTTGTTTCCATCACTAACTATGCTGTGAAAATGTGGTCTCGCACATCTGCAGCTGGGCGTCTGGACTTGCAAGTTCACCTTTTTACTTCAAAGGAACCGAAGTCTAAAGAGCCCCACATTCAAAACCGCGGCAGAAATAAAACAGTGAACTCATGCCTGCTTTGCAAGAAATGCTCCTTGTTGAAAGAGGAATGGCCACAACACACACCAGTTTGACTGGAGGTATTGACTGGCCAAACTGTTCTGAATTCCCCTCCCCATCAAATAGAACAGATTCACTTTATGTCGGCCAGCAATGTCAATTTCAGATAATGGTTTCTTGCAATGTCATATCAGTTGTATAAATCTAAAAAATATATTTTTGCCTTTACTATTAATAACATAATTAATATCTATAATTGGGGTCATATGGAGGGATACTGGCTGCTATAAGCCTTACATTGTGTTGCAATAACAGAACCAGACGCGACATCTGGTCATATCCCAACAAGTCAAACCACAGTGGAGATGTCTAAAGAGCATCTTCTGAAGCTAAGTCATAAGTTAACATGATCTAGATCACAGACCTGTGAAAACAGGTAAACTTAACCACATCCAAATATCACATTAGCCCTGCGATAACATTTTTGCACTTGTTTTTTTTTTGTCAAGCAGTCAAACATTTTGAGAATTGAAGTCCCTCTCCGCTGTCAGCAAGAGCCATGCTGGGCCATTCAACACATTTTAACTTAAAACTTTCAAACCTAGCGGTTGGCCAAAAAGTCACACAACTGTGGACAAAACCTCACTAAACCTCTGTCAATTTAATACGAGTAATCTTTTTGGCTTTCTGTAACGTCTTTCTTTCATTTCTTTAAATAGTTTTCTTTAAGGTTGTGACCAATCTACAACCACAGTCAACTGGTGGAATGAGCTGAATGCATTTTGGAGAAACAGGCAGGCCAACGCAGGTTCCTGTTTTTCTGGCCAGAGCTGGGTGCGTTCAGTTATCTCCTTAGTTATCTGTTTACGCCTACTTGCCTAACCTCCTTCACTGATGGAAGCAGAGGGTGAAATCCCAGGATGGGAAATTCCGAAGGCACATACTCCGGATTTAATCATAAGCCTTAAAGCGGATTACAGTTTACTCTCCAGTCCCTTCCCTTGTGGCCTCTCTTCCCTTTTGAGGGAAATACCAACTGGTAAAGGTTACCAGAGCCGGACTTACCGGGGCAGGGAGGCATACTGTCGTTCCACGTCTTCGTACCTTGGGATTGCGAGACGGCTGTCGTGCCCTCTGGGAATCTGGAGCCAGGGAAAAAAGAGAAAGAGACACCGTCAGCGCGATGCAGCTGGGAAAGTTTACCAAACACTCAGCTGCGGTCCTAAAAATTCTCACCAAAGCCACGCAACTCCTAGATGTTTAAGAACAACAAAATATCAGTTAGAAACAAGAGGAGGACATTCAGCTCACGGAGCCTGATTTGCTAGTGAGACGCTAACTGATCTAAGCACCTCAACCAGCTGTTTCTTCCAATAAGTCAGTGTATCAGCTTCAACAACAGTCTGGGTAGCCTGTTCCGTATTTCCAGTGTCATTTTTGGTAAGACTTCAACAACCCTCGCCTTTTGGTTTTGAATGGACTTCCACTTAGTTTCCACTTGTGGATCTGGTTTGGTTTTATTTTTTCTATCCATTATTGCAGACTTTCGCTACAACCGATTTCTAAATGACATCCACACCATAATTAAGCTACTGTTTGTGTATGTGTATTGTGTATGACAATGGAGTAGGCAAGGAAGGAAGGACTGTTTGTTAAGTGGCCCTACCCTGCAGCCTTTTTCAAAGCCCGGTTTATCTTTCTAGTAGAGACGTACAGATGGGAAGCAGTGAGCTTTAAGTCAACTGAAATGACTTGAAGCCAGTAAGAAAGATCCTGAAAGCTATCCAACCGGCCCCAGCTTCAAGGAAGCCAGAGGATGAGGAGCTTAACTCAGTGCATCTCCTAAGCTTAATAATCCCTAATTAGATGTCACTCACCTTTGCCAATTAAAAAGCGATCTTTTTAAGCGGATACATTTTGCTCATTTGTCCGGGGAACAGAAAGGGGAAGCTTTCTACAACACGTGTTATTTTACAAAACATATTATGTTTTAGGTTCTCTTTGATTGTTAAAAACCCTTTTTGGACACTTATTACAAAACTGCTTTTTGTGTCAAAGACAGTGATAAAACACTCTTTATACCCGTTAAGGTTTTGCCAGGGCATTATTACACTGGAAGGTGAATACTGTGATTTAGATCCTACTAGCTCCATAGCGTAAACCAAGTTTAAAATAACCCCAGTTCAAATAACCACATAAACAGTTTATACGTAGCTAATATAAAACACATTTAAACATTTATAAATATAACAGTTATAAATATTTGAGATTGGCTCACTTACAACGGTAAAAAACAAAATATTACTGCACTAAAAAGCATGATACGTCTGCAAATACAGCAGAGTCAATAAACAATAAATCTAGACATTTGGCAAATAGGAATGGTATGAGGAATTTTAGAAACAGTTCGGTGTTTATGACAGTGGTATGTTGGAGCCATTACAGAAAACAAGCTCATTTTCCGATGGCAATATGAACAAAATAGCATCATTCGTCTCCATAAAAGGATTTTAAATATACAGATCGCCATTTCCTGACCACATTATTGTGGCTTTCAGCAGCATATAAAGGCAAACTACATTAACAGCGGTTCGGAATATGAAGGTGCTATTATCCTGTGTGAGACTTGTCGCAAAGAATAAAATTGTTACTGTAAAGGGCAAAAGGTCAGGGGTGACTGAAAGGCCACGATAATTGACTCAGGAAATAGCTAAAAAGTTAAGATCTCCTTCCTTTTCATTAACCATCACCAAAGCAGAGACCTACCACAAAAAAGCAACAGCAAAAACTACCAGAATAAAGAAACACATGTGGATTTGTACAGGGCGGACTTATATGAGAGGCAACTGTCTAAAAGCTCCCGATCTTGATCAAATTATATAGGCGAAGTTGAGATTATTGTGTATTTCAGAGGTGACCCAACTGCTACAACTTGGTTTGAGAAGAGTGTTTTATGACACAAGGAAATATCCTTTGGTTGTGTGAAGCACCTGGTTCACACTGAGAATTACAGGTACAGAAAGACTGAATAGATTGCTTTTACTGTGGCTTCTTACGGCTTCTCCCATCAGAGGTGTGTCAAACACACACACAAAGCAAAAAATAAAAATCACATCACATACAGGTGCATAAAATAACACGTGAACTGAAAGTGGGGGGAATACACCTAATTACCTTCATCAAGGAGTTTTATTGCACAGGGGACAAAGAATGTCTTATAAATGTTTTTCCTTCACTTTGGTACCTGAAACCCTCTCTCTGATGGGAAGATTACACACTAAGGGGAAAATGAATGAGTGGAGTCAACTGTGATACTCCTGGCCATTCCGAGTTCTCACCTGTAGTACAAATCACCAGGCCGGGCGTGCTGGTTCCTGATTATTTCTCCTGCCATTCTCACAATCCTAAACAGTTTGATTTGACCTTTCACCCCCAGATTTCCCTACCATGCTGTCATATTAAATGCCAATAAACTCTCCACACGGCTTTAATAAGCTATTTTTAGGACATTTTCACCAAGATGAAAAGTCTTGAAATGAAAAACTTAATCTTAAAACATTATCTATATTTGTATGAATACTTTTACAAAATCCAGCAGCTTTCTCTACTCCTGACCCCTGCACCCCTTAGAAAATGGTCCCTGAAGACCAACCTTAAAAACAAAGCCCAGCTCCAACATTTTTCTTGCTTTAATGTTAAATTAATATAGGTTGAACGCATTAACAGAGCAAAAAATAGTAACAAACTTCATACAATTACACTGAGGTGCTGCTGTTTGACAACAACAAGTATTTGAATTTCAGTTCAAGTCACTACAGCTTGAGTGTATCCACAAATCATGGCTCGCGTTTTGATTTACAGAATTTATAAACTGAAGGCATTTACTGTCTAGTAGTGGTTTATAAAAAGAAAACATTTGCACTATTCCAAACCAAATAAATGCCAGAAAGCAATGACATTATCAGTTTGTTCATAAGTGCTGCTGAGACAAAATAAACATCTTCTGTTGCCTAGCAGAAGTTATTTTAAGACTCATATAGTGTTTGTTTAAGACAGGAAAATGTGCCGGACTTGAAAATAGCACTTGTTAAATGTTAATAACTTCTTAATGAGTTTAACCATGGAGTGCATTTCTTTACTGCTTAATTATGACAGCATAATTCTGCATGCATAAACCAAGTGTTTTTTTTTTCCAGCCATGGAATGGGGAAAATAATCTTTCTGCAGCTTAATTGTAAAATGTGATTGCATAATTTGGATTAAAACAGATCGCATGGGCTTTTCGGACTTGGTATCCAGAAATATTTTCTTATTCTTACCTCAAATGGGAAAAAAAGAAAATAATTTGATGTCCCACTTACGGAAAATCAGACCTTTGCTGCAAAATGACCATAATCCACTTTGAGACCATAGGATAGGTGACACTGAGAGGAGGCCATTCAAACTGTCTAATTCCTTTTGGTCATAGTTAAATCACCCAAGAACTCCCATTTCCTGAAAGGAGCCAGGGTATTGGCTACAACTACATGGCTGGGAAGCTTGTTCCATACACCACCTTGTGCTCACTTCTGAATTACTATTGTAACAACTGGTCTTCAAGTGATAACTTACAAAATCTAAGGTCAAACATTTTTCTTCATTTAACGAGGAGTACTGTAGAAGTTTATTTTGTATATGTCCTATCCATTTTCAAAACCGACCTGCCATTCTCCTCATTTAACATTTGGCCTAGTTATTTACTTATCACTTTTACAGAGGACTGCTGAAAAAAAAGTTTCAGGAGAAAATCAAGACTTCTATTTTCCCTAAAAGTTTAGTAAGATAAGATTTTTATTGTCCCCTGAGGGAAATTTGTCATGGACACCCAGCAATCCTGTACATTTAAATAGAATGCAAACAAAACAAAACAAAAAAGAAGAAAATAAATGCACATTACTATATTGCACATGTACAGTATAACTCATAACAACATGTAACATTTATCACACATCACTGTATTAATTCCGTGAGCGGGACCACAGAATTAATACATTATTCACGCTCCTGGACAATGCACTCAATATCACTTTTAATGGGTTCTGACCTTTTACAAATACAGATTCAGGTCACACCCATTAACGAAGCTGAGCTTAAGAAGAGCTGTCTAGTTTATTAATACGCTGCAGTTCAACTGCTGGGTTGAGCCACAGATAAAATCCTGTGTAACCCAGATTGAAGACGTTAAAAAGCTTAACCCTGCTCTTCAAGCCCTGTGCATTCTGGAGTTATATCAGCGATAAGGGGAGATCAAAAGCTGACCACAACTGGGTATACAATATGGAGGAAACCAGCACAATTCAAAGAAGACAAAGTTATTGCATTAGTTATTGTTCTGGATTCCTGGCATTAAAACGCACTTAATCGGCAGCATGATAGCAATTTCCTTTGACTGATGTCTTATCCCTGAGGTTGCAAAAATATTTTCATTGTTTCATCTGAGGGAGGGCCATGTCGCTCACCGACTGTGATGGGCACTGCCCGGGCAGGAACACACAACCAGTTGGGAAAAGTTGCCCAAGAAGGACTCTTGACGTAGCAGAAAAGAGAGACTTGTGTCTTGCCACGCGTCTGAGAGCTTGCAGCGATGTCAGCGAGAGCTGCTTCGCACCTCCAGCCTGTGTTCTCTCTCCTGTCAGCAGGCCCTGACCATGTACCATGTACTGTAATGAATGGCTCTGGAGGTGTGCAAACTACAGTAGGACATTTTCATCTTATTCTCACCCGGTTTATACAGGAGTGGCTGCAAATTTGAAAAACTCTACAAATTAAGTGTATCTGCAGGCAAGGGTACTAGCAGTTTATAAATCCAGCTCTTAGTCTGTCATTACCTTGACATCAACACCTGAGTTTGATTGCAGAGACTTTAGAATTAGGTGTTCAAAGTTGTGTAAATTATTTTCAAAGCCCCCTAAATGCATTTGGCTTTTCTAGTGCCTATGTCTGAATGAAAGATCAATGAAAGTATACCTTGCCTTGATTTAATAACTACACAGCAGGGCCTAGAAACCCCCTCATTCCCAGAGAAAGATGCAGTGTCTAATTTCTCTGTTGAACAACTTAAAAGCTAATGGTCTAAAGAAAATCATTTCACGCCATGCCGCGC